GTATTTATGGTTTTAATGTTTTGTGTGAGCCGCCCAGAGTCCCCCATTGGGGGGAGATGGGTGGGGGAGAAATTTAATCAATCAATCAATCAATCAATCAATCGCAATGTTACATGACCATGTCGCTTAGCGATGGCAATCCGGCATTCTCCATTGCCATTCTTAAGCGAGAATGGCAGGTCCTTAAGCAAGGACCTCCTCACAACTTCCTGCCGGCTTCCAACAAGCAAAATCCGTGAGGAAGCCAGCAGGAAGTTGCAAGTGCCAGCTGGCTCACAAGCAGGCTGGCAGGCAGGTAAGTGGTTGCTGTCAGGTGGGGGAAGACGCAGAGGTGGCTGCAGCAGCACACACAAGTGATTCTGGGCCCAGGGGTGGCTGCTGCCAGGTAGGGGAGACTTACCCAAGTGACTTGTGACCTTCCCTGCCAGCTTCCCCATTGATTTTGCTTGTGGGAAGCTGGGAGGGAAGGTCGCAAATGGCGATCATGTAACTGCAGGAAGCTGAAACCATTGTACAGATAGTCCTCACTACAACCATTCACTTAACGACGGCCCGGAGTTACAACGGCCTTGGGAAAAGTGCTTTACAACCCCACGGTCATGTGATCGCAATTTGCGACCTTTTTTATGATCGTCATTATGCGAATCACTGTGGTCATTAAGCAAATCATGTGGTCGTTAAGTAAATCATGGTTGCTAGTGAATTCCAGCAAAAATCCCCATTGGGGAAGCTGGATTCGCTTAACCACCATGTGATTCACTTAATGATCACAGTGATTCGCTTAACAATCATCATAAAAAAGGTAATAAAATCAAATCTGATTCGCTTAACAACCAAATCACTTCGCAACCTAAATGCTGGTCCCTGTTGTGGTTGGATAGCGAGGACTACCTGTAAGCACGGGCCGGTTGCCAAGTGCCTGGATCGTGATCACATGACCACAGGGATGTTGGGATGGCTGGAACTTTGAGGACCAATCTTAAGTCCCACTTGTTCAGTGCCATTGCAACTTTGAATAGCCACTGAACGAGTGGTTGGTAAGTGAGGACTACCTGTATTACATTTGAAGCACTGTACCATCGCTTGGGAATGACAGGAAATGTAATTCCACCCCTCATGACACTATGTCTAGGGCTACCAAATCTGGGCTGCAAAATTCAAGTTGATTATGAGATAGCACTTCTAGCTGTGGTGTGGTAGTTATCCAGATGTTTGCCACCCATATTTGGTAGCCTAATCAGGTTGGAGAGAGCTGATACGTGAAAGGACATTTTTCATCTGCTTTTCATGGTTCTTACTCCCCCCACATTATAAATGTTGTTTGATAACCCCATGTCAGCCCAGAGTTCTCCCTCATGGCACAAATGACCAGGCTCAGATTATCCTACTTGGGACAGGAGGATCCCTGGAGAAGGCTCTGATGCTGGGAAGGGTGGAAGGAAAGAGAAGAGGACAACTAGCAGCAAGGCGGATGGACTCAGTTGCAGTGACAACAGGTACACCATTGGGAGACTTGAAAGAGCAGGTTAGGGATAGATCGTCCTGGAGAATATCTACTGTATGTGGTCACTAGGAGTTGAAAATGACTTGATGGCACTCAATCAATCAATCAATCAATCGGATAACCCCAGGACCTTGGTAGAGGTAGCCAAAGGAAAACCATCACTTTTAATAATATGAGCCACTGCTATCTGAAGGAAATAAAAATGTTGCTTTGGCGGTGGATGAACAAGGCCAAACGAAGAGCCTCTAGCGGAGTGGGTAGAATTAAAAAAAAAGTGATTAAATTATTTGGGATGAAACTGAAATAAGGGAACGCCGGAAGGAGCGTTTTAGAGATTTGCAAGGTAGGATAGTGAGATGTTGAAGAGTGGGATGGGAATAAAAGTAAGTGTCCAAGAAAAAAAAAAAATCGATGAAACCATGGTAAAAAAAATGCAGTGAGAATGTTGAAAAATGGTAGAACTGCAGGTGCGGATGGAGAAATATTAAAATATCGTTTACTTATGGAATGGCTGTGAGAGTTGTTTAACATGTGCATCAAGCTTGCATCTGTGCCCAGCAACTGGAGGAATGCCATTATTATTCCCCTACAGAAAGGAGAAAGTAGTAAGAGTGAAGGCAAAAACTACAGGGGGATTAATATGCTTGGAAATTGTTTGGCATAATTCTGATTGAAAGGATGAAAGGAGCAGAATTGGAGAAATGCAGTGTGTCTTTATGCCAGGCAGAGAGCGCGCAGACCGGGTTTTTGCTCTTCAGCAGCTCCCTGAAGGATATATGAACATGAGAAAGAAAATTTATTGTACATTTGTTGATTTAACATGCAATATAATGAATAGACTTTGATTATGGAGCATCTGTGTGCTTATCGAGTTGAAGGTTAGTTGCTGAATGTAATTACAGTAGTCTTCTTGGAGTTGGGCAACCTTTACATATCCAATAAATAAATTAAAAAATGGAAGTAAAGCATGCATGAGAATAAATAGAATGCTTAGCAAACAATACAGCACTGAATTGGGAGTAAGACAAGGACAAAACAATTGGTTGTTTTAATGTATTTATGGATATAGGTTTAAGGAATGTTTGTGTTGATATTAGAGGGTTAAAGGTTCACTGGAGTTGTGAAAGTACCTGTACTTTTGCATAAAGACTATGCGGTATTCTTAACTGAGAACCTGAATGATTTGCAGAGAATATTAGAGAGAGTGTACCCTGCAACAAGCATGGATCTGATAATTAACATATGAAAGACCAACAATTTTGTCAAGTTGTGTTTGACAAAGAAAATGGATAAGTGATTACAAGGTATACATACATGGAGAAAATCTAAAGCGAGTAGATGAATGTGTATCTCCCCTTTATTACAGGTGGGAATATGGAAAATATTTCAGATGCATCAATGCCGCTAGAAAGCCAATGAGTAGTAGGTTGTTGGTTATGAGGAATGAATGTTTGCCAAAAGAAGAGAAAGAAGAAAGTACTTCTGCTCATTTTCTTCTCTAGAATTGGGGAATTCAGGAGAAGCATAAGTGTCAGTTGAATGCAGTGGGAATGGGCTACTTAAGAAGCGCATGTGATAATACAAGAAGAGGCAGGACCAAGGATGAATGGGTTTTGAATGAATGTGGACTGAATATAAAAATGAATTCCCAGGATGAAATAAACAGGCTGAGGTGTTTGGGTCATAGAGAGAGAACGAGGACTGAATTGCAACACAATTACGTACATGAAGGAAGAGTGAACAAGCCCAGAGGAAGATGGAGAAAAATCACGTGAAGATGGGGGTGGATGAGATCCTCAGAAAGCAAATTAAAGATTAAAGAGCAAAAGGCAATGCACGAAGTGGTAGATGAGTGTGGGGGAGCCCGGATGGTTTGCAGGAATGGAAGGCTACGAAGAAGTACACTGAATGGTCCTGGTCTTGGTGTAAACAAGTTTTATTTTCATTTTCATGTCTTGGCTTTTTCCTACTCCTTTTCTGCACTCTGCATCACGTTCCTTCTCCTGGAAGGAGACCGCATGACGGATGCGTGTGTGTACAGCCATTTCTATAAAGATCTGGTACATTCAAAGTGGTTAACATGCATTACCCTGCCCTAACCCTTACAACATCCTTGTGAAGCTTGCCTTTCAAAGAACGTCTCTTTGGGATGACCTGTGTGGTGCCCTGTCTCTTTAAGGCTCTTGACTCAGCAAATGGGAGCCTATAAATTAGCTCCCTGGCTCCTTTTCAGATGATCCATTGTCCTTTGCTTTTCTTTCTCTGCGTCCTTGGGTTTCTGATAATAAATGTTTCCTCTCTCGACAACATCAATGCTTTGGGATGCGTTTGTATTTATGCAGCTCTCCCACGTTACTGGGTGGGAGATCCTGGTTTGGATTTCTCTTACTTTGGCACAGACTGAGCACTGCAGCTTTTGTGACAACATAGTGGGAAACACAGCTTCTGTTTGTACTTCGCTGAAGCTTTCCTAATCAACAAAAGAGAGCTTCCTTACGCAGAAAAGAAACCCTTTGTGGTTTGTGATCCTCTTGGTTCTCCCATTGCTGGAGGCTGAAATGATGTTGACAAGAATGTTTTGACACTCAGGACAACCTGCATTCCTCATAGGATCTTGTGCTGAAGCATTCCCCCTTTTGAAACAATACGCACATTTGTGCCGATGCTACTGGAAGTGTGACAGCAGCACTCAAAATGGTTAATTTAGACCTAGTCTGATGAGATGGTGAAGGGGAACAGCAAAGAAAGAGATGACTTGTAAGGATGTCAGATCTTACCCTAGAGCAGTGTTTCTCAACCTCAGCAA